GATTTGACATAGACTGTTATATTTGCCTAAAAGATTTATTTGTAGCTTGTGAAATAGTAGGTTATTGTCATGTATGTTTATTGTTAAATACATAATAATTACTAGAAAACACCAGTGGCATCTAATTAAGTTGCAAGTCTTCTAAGATGTTGAGTAATACCCATACGTGGTGTTGTCTGTGTGCGTTCTTCCTCTTTGTAAACTACCACCCCACTCCCAGCCACCCCTAAGTTGATAACCAGGAGGAATTTAGAATGTTGTACTTGTGTGTGATTGTGACATATGTCCCCTCTACAACAACCAAGGTTGGGCATTGTGGCCTTTTCATGTTGTTTCTACTCCTCATGAAATTTAAGTCAACAAAATAAATATCTTTCTTCTTGGGTATGGTGAAGAGGCATGGTGTCCTTCTGTTGACTTTCGGCCTTTGCAGGAGAGGCTGCCAATCCATTTACTTGAAAAAGAAGCAAGGGACTCAGGATGCTGCAAACAGACTGCCTGGTAGGAGGCCTTCTGAGTTGCCTTCAATCCAGTTTATTTTCTGTGATAATTATAAATGGGATTTTATGTCAAAGAAAGAAGCTTATATTCTAGACAGAAGTATATAACCAAATCATTACATTATCACTAACTTAGATATAGTGAGGAAGTCTGCATAAATTTCAGAAAACGAAAGAAGTGCTGCAAACTATTTTTGAGCACACTCTTAAGGCAGACGAATCAAGTGTAGCGCATTCTGAAAGAGCTTGAACAAATAGGCGAGGTCATCAGGTTTTAGAAATAAGTACCTGAAAACATTTTCTTTTCTTAGAATTTTTTCTCTTCTGTTAACTTGGAGTAAAACATTGTTAGATTAAATGGTGCAGACTACTTTCAAATAGTCACAGATTTCATGTTTCTATACTTAAACATGGTCTTACTGTATTTTAATTTTTCTTTTTTAATCACATGTAGAAATTACTAATTTTGTATGTTTCAAAGTAGGAGAGATGCCATATGAAACTACTTTGAATTTATGGGAAACATTTAAAATTGATTACACCCTCTGGGATATGATTAGTATACCGGCAGAGTAAATAGCCATAAATATTTGATGCTGACAATGATGACAATGAAGATGGTGGTGGTGGTGGTGATATGTCACTGCCTACCCAGCTTCTTGGCTGACAGGATCTCTCAAAGGTGTTATCTTTAAATGTCAAATAACTGCTTAGTGCCAGGAACCCAATTCTTGTCTTAGACTAAAGATGAGTTTAATTAGCACATGTAAAAAATAAATAAATCTTCACTGTTAAATGCAGTTAAAAACACTTCAGTATTTTCTCACATGATAGAAATGTCATATTTGTGGGAAATATTAATTTATTGCTGTTTATGTAGCCTGTGCTTGAAGGATCTGGGCTTTTAATCTTTGCTTCTCTGTGTTCACAACACAGAGGTTATGTTAGTTTAGTGTATGTGCCACTGTGCCTCTTCCTGTTATACAGTGTCTTAATCCAAGAAATATGACTGAGAACAATAAAAATGATTAAGTAAGACTTGTTCCTATATAGGAACAAACACTTTGAACTGAGTTACACAGGAAAGCCTCAAAAGTTGAAACTCTATTTTAAGATGTTGGAGAGGTTGTTGTTGATGAGTCCCATGAAGAAAATGTACCTTAGGAAAATAAAGTATAACCGAGCTTAGCAAAACTCTTGGCAACCGGAGGGGTGTTGTGAATCTAAGAATAGGGACCTTAGCTTGAAAGTTTCATCTTAGAGGTTCGGGAATAGAAGCTGCCAGAAAATGAAAGTTCTTTACAGCCTCTGATCATATTGCTTCCAGAACTCTTGGTGAGTGATTTTACTTTCCGAGGATGAAACACACAGAGCCAGGAGCTGGTTTATTCATTAGAATCCCTGATCTCTCCCAACCCACTAGGAGTGTATTCTGAGGCATTACCTGAAAA